TTGGCAACTTTTGTAGGCAAAGAATTACATTATTGACGTATTTAGAATATTTTGGCGGTATCTTTCTGTGTCTTAATGTAGTTAAATATATATTTATGGTAGTGCATACCTTGTGAGAGTGACTGAGGGTGAATGTTGGTCATTTGAAACTGTTTTTCTTCCCTATAGTGCTTAGGTGGATTTTCAGTTTTCAGCTTACGGCTGTCTGTAGGTTTCTTCGGGGCCTATGGTGGTGACTTGAGCGTTTCCGAGTGTGTTTATTATGTATAAAACTTGCTATATTGTTATGGCTATGTGGTAGTGTCACTTGTGACCTATTACTTAGTCCAGATGTGAAACTTACCAGGTTTTAACCTAGGTTTCTTGATGTTTGAGGAGGTTACCTGTGAGCTGGCTTGATACATTTAAATACCCCATTTTTTGCTGTCAATGTACACCTCAGTATCCATCAGCGGGTAGAGTTTCAATATTATTTTCTTTTTAGTTAGTTTTTTCTACAATGTAAATGATTCCAGTTCGACAGAAGGTTATAAACTATTCAGTTTTTGATAGTCATGGAAATAGAAGCCATGCGAATACATCCAGAGTGACCCGAGGCTCTTGTGTTAATTAGATCCAAGCTCGTCAATAGTTGGGTCGACGTGCCTATTTTTGTTTTCTTTTTTTCATCTGTAAGGCGTCGCCAACGCTTTATAGTTTCAGTTTGGTGAGAACTATATGCTCATCGAGGTCTTAGAATCTCTGGACTAGTCCTAAGATGTAATTATATAATGTATAATCTTGTAAAACTATTTTTTATTGTTAATGACATTTGTCATACATTTATTTACCTTGTCGTTGAGTTGACGGACCAAATCGCTTCGCTAATTTATTTGCCTCGTTTATTGTAGTGTTCTGGGATATTATATTCAAAGTATTAAGTATTTTCCTTGTTAAAAAAGATAATGTTATTATATTCTCGGCTATTATTTTGACGTTTATCAAACACTGACATTCGGCAGTTTCTGTCAATGTTTAATGTCATTGTCAAAGGACGTTGACATTTGTGTTATTCAGTTACTTCTTCTTTTATCTTTTCTGGACTCTTGTTGAGGTAGGCATGTTATTCCGGATGTTCGATGATGACGTACTTGCGCAGATTAGCGAATTATCAGTTTCCGGACTTGACGGTGAAGCCATTTTTGTCGTGTGTGAATTCTGACCCAGCAAGCACGCAAAAGTTTTTCTGTGTAGTGAACCGGCTTTTCGACTTTTGAATAAGTTTTTTAGGTTTTAGAAAATCCAGGGATGTTGTAACTCCCAACTCAGTATATGGGGATTATTTTTCTTTAACCTACATTTGTGGATGACCGTCGTATGGTTATTTGTTCTGGCGTTTAAAACTGGATTTGTTTTTTTTTTGGAACAGTTTTTCATCCAACTCCCATGGTGGGATATATACTTTTTTTAAGTCGTAGCCAAGCCGATTACCTGTGATTTTTGAAGAAAACCCTTATTAGTAAGGTATGTATTGTTTTTCTCAATAGTTGTACAGAAAACACTTTTTTATATAGACTTTTTTTTTTGTCATCGAAGCTGAAGTAAAAAAAAACCCAGAAAGAACTGCGTACATTCTGCTACTCGTTTTTTTTTTTAGGAGGGGAATCAGTTAGTAAGAAGCCGGTTTGTTCCTTAAATATTTGACTGGGTGGGTAAATTATTTAATGTAGTTAATTCTTTTTTTTTGGGAGGGAGACTGATATCCAAAACTCGCTTGGGTATTAAAATCTTTCATATTTTTAGGGTTTTTATTACTGGAGTGCACAGTTAAACCAACTGTCCCAATTAGAACTTGTTTCTGGTGTTCCACCTTAGAGGGTGAAACTTCGAACTAGCTGAATTATAGCAGTCTGCAGAGGAGGCAGGTGTTTTTACCATACATGGATTTGGAATGGTAGCAGGGACAAACTGTTGCTTACAGCAGTGACCAACGGGGGACACTGACTCCAAGAAGGAGGTTTTATTTACTTTATTATTAAATTAACGGCACATTTTGCTGATCAAATTTTAATGAACATTTCTATTTAATCATTAATATTTTTGGGAAGGGGATTTTTATATGTAATACAAGAGTATGTTACATAGGGATTTTATGGTCTTAAATTATTATTAAGTTGTAGTAAAAGTGTACGACTGAAATCAAGTTAACTTTGTATCGGTATTTAACTTTTACATTGTGCAGATAGCATCTAAAAGTCACTCATGCCTTTGGTACCAACGCCCATGACCCTGACATTTTTTTGGTTACATTTTTAATTAAACGGTAGGGGATTTCTACCCCAGTAGTTACAGGTTTGATTTCTGTCCTAGGGACATCAACTTTAGTTTTAGATACAACATATTAATGCCATAACCACTCGTACATGACCATTTTTACTATATTTATTATATATTATTCATATCTATTTTGCGCCAACTACAACCTAGTTGTAAAGTATTGTATTTTGAGTCCAGGGGACTTTACTGTGTTTAATTAATATATTTATGGGGATAACTACAACATAGTGAACATTTTTGGTCTAAAGATAGTAATTTGTATACACAAGTTGGTGTTAGCTACGACAGTAGTAAATGTTATAGACCAGGGTACATTTTTCTATATTATAGGTGTTTATTTCTTGATGACATATGTGTTTAGTTTGTTTTAATATTGAGGTTATTGTTAGGGCTGTATTAAGGGTAAAGTCTGGGAACGTCTGTCAATTTATTTATACAGAGTGAAAGTATATCAGTTATTTATACAGGGTGAAGGTATGTCAACAATTTATACAGGGTAAAGGTATAAAATTTATTAAAAAGGTATGGCAGGAGTTTTGTTGTCTCATTTCGTTCCTATTGTTTGATCGATTTAGGTAGGAGACAAGGAAGCATTTTATCTGGCAGTTAAACCGATCTGGCGCTCAAAAGAATAGAATCCTGTGAATTTTTGGTACTAAACGGACCACGCCTTCTCCACTCGAAGCGAAACCGGAGCCAGGGCTGTTCATCAGACAGTCGAAACTTTTGCATTACCTGAAAATCTTCGTGAGTCGGTAAATTGCCTTTGTAGGGTTATAGCAGTGGCAACCATTGGAAATTGAACGCGGACGACGTTCGTGCGAGGATTAGACGGTAACAATCTGGCAACACTGGGCTCCCGCCATATTTCTCAAACACCACTCAACCAAGCCCTTTCAAGCAAAAGGGTACGTTTTGTACTGTGCAAAACGATATTTCTCTGATTCACTGTAAAACGTAGTGCTCGTGATCGCGAGTGAAATTAACTGTAAAAGAACCCCTACTGTGCGAAACGAAATGTTTTTTGTGTAATTTCTAAAACACTCGTTTTACTTGTCATTTTTTCTTTTATTAATTATGTAGTGCCTACTGTTGCACTAATTGCTACCTTTCACCTCAATCATAGTTTCCGCAAATGTATAACCTCCAATCTTTGTGTCAGTCTTGGATGGATAAATATTAAGCTCACTTCACCGTGGCTCCCTGGTTGCCGAGAGAGAGGATGTTGAAGATAAAAACAAAAAAATTATTATGACATTTTTGATTTTACAATTATATACATGACATGTCATTAATTTCTATTTTACAATAATTATACTTCTGTAAATATATCTTCAAACTGGTTAAATATTTTATTGATGGGATAAACAAATAAAGATCCCACAAGTTAAAAGTTTGTTTGAGTCGATGGCTACTAGTTAAAGTGTTAGTTGTAAATAAATATTGTTTGAAAACCAGAGCGTATGATTTCACTGAGATGAAGACAGAAAAAGATACAGCGACCTATGGATCTTCAAGATACAGTTTGCATCATCTCTAATAGTGTATATTAGGGATTGCTTCCTTCAACATTTAGTACAAAGACAGTACATAAATTGGTCCCCCAATCACCGGATGTTGTGTCGGTGAAATCCCAAGATCGGCTCCGTGAAAGAAAAATGTGTTAAGTGCTCCAGACAAGCTCAGACAGGAAAAAGTTCCCGCCTCAGTGACGCCAAAAGTTCCCGCCTCAGTGACGCCAAAAGTTCCCGCCACAGTGACCATTGATGCCAAAAGTTCCAGGTTCCAGTGCCTTTCCATAGTAAGTTCTGTGGTCCGGGCAGTCATTGCAGTTTTTCACAAAAAGAAGAATTGACACACTAGTGTCAGATGGATGTCAGTTGTCAGGGTCACATGGTAGTTGTGATTGTTTATATTTATGTTTACACTTGTAAAAAATCTCTGTAAGTACACTTTTGCATGCTTTATTGTAAATTTGTGTGATAAAACCCTCATAATCGTACATTATCTCTGTGTAACGCAATATTCTTGGTTTATACAGTTAAACCAGTCAGTGATTTGATATTCTATTGTTATTTTTCTTATTGTTCATTAGTTAAGTTGTATATCTCAGAAGGTTCAAAATGCCTCGAACAGACGTAGAAATCGAATTCTTAAAAAAGACGCGCGATGCACACAAATCAGTTTTAATAATAATAATACTCTCCCTAATTCACCCCCTTACGAGTGAATTTCAACCCCTGAAGTCGACTGAACGACTTGTGTAGGGGAAGGGACGGCTATTATTATTATTATTATTATTTGCCGTGGCGCTCCGGGGCGACTTAAAGATGATTGATGGTGCCATTGGACTTACAGGTGAGGAAAACCCGGAAAACCTCACCCACCATCATCGAGACGGTAATGTATGGCGATTTTTTTTTAATCTGCATGTCATATCAACAGAAAATGAATTTCTATTAATACGCCACACATCAAATCCTAAACCGAACCATGCAATTTTATTAAAAATCCACATGGTCTGGTCTGGGATTCGAAACCCAGCAGTCTCAGACTCATAAACTTGCCTATAAATGAATATAAGCGCGATAGATCGCTACACCACCGTCCCGATCACTAGATAGATAACTAGAATAGATAATTACTTAAAAAGATCAGGTGCCACAGAAACAAATATATTTCAGTTCACATCACGTGAAAATGCTCTTTTCAAAGCCTTCGAGGAATACGATAAGATTCAATGTAAATTAGAAAATGAAAACATACAGAATGAATCAGACAGAGAAGTGTTTGAACCCCAGTATTATAATATTCTCTCCGCTTTAAAAGAAAAAGTCCAAACATTAATTCCCACCCCTAGCACTAGTAACACTATCTCGGATACTTCTTCAAAGGTAATTATGGTAGACAATAAAATTAGTTCAAATGTTAAGCTCCCAGAGTTGAATTGTCCCAAATTCACAGGAGATATTACGCTGTGGAAGCATTGATAGCCGATAATAGTACATTCACACAAGTTCAAAAACTTATTTATCTTAGATCATACCTTATAGGAGAACCCCTGCATTTGATAAAAAAAACCTCCAACTAGTGCATAATAACTTTGAAGTAGCATTAGATATACTAAGAAAAAGATATAATAATAATAATTTGCAGGCAGTCTTTGCACACCTTCAAACATTGTTAAATATTTCCCCAATAACGAAAACCACAAGTCAAGCACTTAGAGAGTTCATTACACAAATAAACCAAAATATTGAAGCTCTCAAGAATTTTAATGTTAACCCTGAAGGATGGGATTTAATACTTATTTTCATATTCCTGCAAAAATTAGATATCTCTGTATAAAAATCCAAATGAATTCCCAACATTTTTAGAATAAAGGTGTTTGGCATTAGAAAGTTTATTTGCTAGTCATTCGCTGTCATTTATAAACACAGTTTCCCCTAGTAAAGAGAATAGAACAAAAGTGTGTGCACCGTGCGTGGAAAAAGAAAGATGTGGAGGCGCGAGTTTAACAAAATTTTAAATAAATTCTGATATAGCTGATCTAATAAAATTTTACATAAAATAGTCAAATTTCCTGTAAGCACTTGTCGTTTAATACTCACAGAAAAAAAAAGAATAGGGACCAACAGACCCATGCCAGTCATGCCAAATTACTTGGATATGGTTCTACCAAAGGCTACGAGATCTGACTCCGACATGTACAATAGGGTGGAGCGATAAACGCAAAAATTATAAAAATTTTGAAAAATCGATTTGGAATACCTACCAAAAGTTACCTTTCATAATGTTGACAAAAAGGTATTAATACAACTTTTTGATCAAATCACATCTTCTGTCCTCTATCAGCCATTGAAAAATTACAAAAAAGACTAAAAAAAATTGCTGGAATTATTACTAAAATTTAAGCCATGTGATTTTAAGATATATTATGTATAATAAAATTAATTTATAACATTTTTCGCCCTATACACAGTGGCATAGCCAGGGGGCCCTGCTCTCCCCACCCTCTCCCTAGCCGCTTTATACACAATTTATTTACTTTTAATAATAATGCACCCCCCGCTGCAAAGCTAGCTACGCCACTGCCTATACTAGTCCTCTATTACGGTCCTAACCTCGTCCTCCTGCACGTTGCGTCTGGGTGAAAACGCCGAGTTTCGAGAATGCTCGGAAGTCCGGCGCGCTACGTACTCCCGCATGATAATTGCATCATCTCATTTACATATTATACAGGGTGTTATTGAAATACACGTACATATTAAAATGGGGAATAGTATGTAATGACCAAAAACGATTGGCACCAATTTTAACTTCAAATTCTAAAATTTAAATATTGGGGAAGAGTCCCCTTTTCCGACCTACTAGTTTCCATATTTAAAGAAGTAAAATAAATCGAAATTGAACTTACCCATAGAAATTGCACTGTTGCCGTAGCAAAACCAATTAATTGAAAATAAAGTTTATTACAGTAATTGTTCAAAATGCCGTCCATTATTATTTACACACACTTGCAATCGTCTTTCCAAAGAACTTTGAACATTAGAAATTAGTCTTGGATTTTGTCGTAGTTCCTCGGCTACCGCATTAACTTTATTGGTTAATTGTTCAACACTATTAATAGGTTCATTATAAACCAGTTGTTTCATGTGACCCCACAAAAAGAAATCGCATGGATTTAAGTCCGGAGATCTCGGAGGCCACTTAGTAGGTCCATTTCTGCCTATCCACTTTTGAGGAAATCTAATGTTCAAAAACTGCCGTACGTTTAAATCAAAGTGAGGAGGAGCGCCATCTAGTAGGTACCACATCCGTTGCCTTAATTGTAACGGTATCTCTTCTAGGAGTACTGGCAAAATATCTTCTAAAAAGTGGAGATATCCTGGCCCATTTAATCTGTTCGGGAGAACATAAGGCCCGATTAAATACTGATCTATTATGCCAGCCCAAACATTTATTGAAAATTTTCTTTGATGCCCAGTTTCCCTAATGGCGTGAGGATTTTCATCACTCCAAATATGCGTATTGTGCATATTGAACACGCCATCACGAGTGAATGAAGCCTCGTCAGTATACAATAATATTTTTAGAAAATCAGGAATATCAACACATTTTTGAATCATCCATTCACAAAACTCCACTCTCTTTTCTTCATCACCTGGATATAAGGCCTGGACTTTTTGGATGTGATAAGGATGTAAACCTTGTTCTTTAAGTGTCCGCCACACAACAAATGAGGACACTCCAATTTCAAGACCTAGTCTTCTACAACTTAATTGAGGCCGGTTTTCAACAGTTTCCAATATTTCTTCTTCGGCCGCCAATGTTCTTTGTGTTCTTGTTCTCCCTCGATCTGCATTGACACTCTCAAATTTTCCATGGTCTCTTAGATGCTGAACAGTTGAAATAAACGTACGACAGTCCGGAATTCTCCGATTTGGAAACCGTTCGCGATACAGGATTTGTGCTTGCCGAGAATTTTCTCCAGCTGCCCCATAAACCAGCACTATATCCGTTAGTTCAATATTTGTAAATAGTGGCATCGTAAAAAAATATTTAAAAGTAATCGTAACAACACTTTTTACCAACTTGGAAATGACGCGCTCGTGTTAGCCAGATTCGTAAATCAACTAAAATTTTAATAATCTATAGTTTCAAAAATGTATAGTTTAAAAACAATCATTTATCAAATATTCTAGTTTTTTGATAACGAGGGTAGTAAAAAACAAGTCTTCGGAAATAGAAATTAATTCGAAAATCTTGGCAACATGGTTATTTCTTACAAGACTAGTTTTCTTATCATCTGACAAAAACTTGCATATTAATTACTGTTGATGTTTAAAATAGGTAAATAAACCTAATTTATATAGGTCATCCTCAACATATCAGTGAAGTACGTTTGTTTTAGAATAAATTTTCAAAAATTAATAACTCCCTTAATAAGGGGTATTTTTAAAAAATAATATTTTTCTACATTCAGTGGGGATCTGCGCAATACCCAGTTTTAATATGTACGTGTATTTCAATAACACCCTGTATTAGTATGCAATAAGTCGTGTTTTATGTAGCGTTAATCGGTTTTTTAAGTGAAAATTGAATAGTTTTGTGGTTTTCGGCGATCGTGTCAAAAATATATGAGTTCTACAAAGTTCCGTTATACTAGGCAAGACATTGAGTGTCCGTTAATTGGTGCTCCTGCAGATTTTAAAGGTAACTTACTTCCTTCGAAATCTGATGTTTTAAAGTGTTATTTATGGACCAGTTATAATTTAAAACCTCCAAACTCAGGGAAGGAACCAACATTTTTTGAGATATCTAATATACTATCTGACAAAATTTTAAGGTTGTGGCAAAAAGCGTCAATTCCTACCGTAACAAGAAAAAGTTTTTCGCAATTAATAAAAACCCACCACGACAAGTATTTAAAACTTTTGAGGTATCCGAAATGTAAGAAAAATAATAGTTACAAAATAAGTTTCCACGAATTTCAAACCGAGAACACTCTGTTTGATTTTAGCGCTTGCAAATGCGACATTTTTGAACAATGTTCTTGCGATAAGGAAAAAAAGATACCTAAAAATGAATGGGATTTTTTACTAGATTAGAGGGGGCCTAGAAAAATGATTATTGGAAACATTGATGTAAAGGAAACCTCAAAGCTGATAAATAAGGCCAGCAGAATAGACAAATTTATGCAAAGGAAAGAACTAGAACAATCCGTCCAACATGCAAGCAACATCAATTTATCAAAAAAGCGAAAGTCAGAAACTGATATCAAGATAGATCATGAATTGCCTTCCATTTCCTATGACAGTATCAATACAGATATGCAGTGTACAGAAAATTACGTCAAACTTCCCACCTTGGCCAAAGTTTGTGACCGCTATGGATTATCGGATAGATCTGCAGTAGCAGTGGCAACTGCAGTGCTACACGACCTTGGAATTGTTTCCAATGCCAATACAAAAAACGTAATAGACAGAAGTAAGCTGAGAAGAGCAAGAGAGCAATCAAGAAAAAGTTTTACGCAAAACTCTGAAACTTTGAAAGCCATATACTTTGACGGAAGAAAAGATGAAACCTTCGTAATCGAAAATATTGAAGGCAAGTACCACAGAAAAACCATACTCGAAGAACACATTTCTTTAGTTCAAGAGCCGGGCTCTATATTTTTAGGTCCCACAGTACCCCTTTCTGGTTCGGCTCTAAGCATTCTTCAAAGTATTGTCAACTTCTTAGAAAGTAATGGATATAATCTAGAAGAACTAGTGGGAGTAGGATGTGACGGAACCGTGGTGAATACGGGAAAAAAATGGTGCAATTTCTTAACTAGAATTAAAATTAGGACGCCCTTTACAAAGATTTGTCTGCATCTTTTTCAGAAGCTGGACGGCCAAACTATGGGTCCAAGAGCTTTTGCAGGAATTATAAGAAAGCAAATAGTGCAGTACGAAAATATGCCAGTTGTAAACTATAACATTATTGACTGTGAGTTACCAGAAGTAGATTTCCTTGACTTAAGATCAAAAATATCTGTTTGAAATTTGTGTTGCAGTTTCTACAGGAAAGTGCTCCGTGGATTTATTGAACCAAAGCCCAGGAAAGTTAAGTCATTCTCTATGGCTCACTTTGGCCAATCGCATATTACGTCTTTATGTAAGTACCATAAATCCAACCTCAGAATTAAAGGAACTGACCAAATTTATTGTCAAGGTTTATGGTCCTTTGTGGTTTCAAATTAAATGCAACTCATCATGTGTAAATGGTGCAAAGCATGTTTTACAAACGAAAAAACGTAGTCGGTACCTAGAGCAAGATTTGAAAAGTGTTATAGACCCTGTAATTCAAAGAAATGCCTATTTTGTTCATCAGGAAGATCTTCTGATATGTATGCTGCATGACACTCGCCCTCATAAGAGAACTTGCACATCGTCGCATTCTGAATGCCAAAACTTAGGGCAATAATAGTTCAACCAATGTCAGACCAGATCATAATGATGCATTTTCTGTCGATCTTCGGGTCCAAGAGTGCATGGCTGGAGAAGAAAATCAAATTCTGTTATACAAACCACAGGGTCAGGATCACAGTTTGTTGAAAAAGCATGATTTCTGTCTTATTTTAATGAATACATTCCAAAGGCAAATGATCCAAAGGTTTTCCAATATCATAGCTGTAGTAAGTACACATGGGCTTAACGGATATGATTTTGAAATGACATCGATTATGGTGATTGATGAATTTCACCATGGGTTCCCAGTAGCTGAAATGTTTTCAAATCGAAAAGCCACTGTTATACAGAACATTTTTTTTACCTCAGTTAGAAAATCAGTAGGTAGGATGTACCTAATATTTAAATTTTCTTTGAGTATAAAATGTATGAACTTGTTTCAGGAACTGTCAACTGCCAAATATTCATGTCAGACATGAATATATATTTATACCAATTTCCGTCTATATTTTCCCCCCACCCACACCAAAATAGTAAGTACAACTGCAAGAGAACAAGCCATAGGTCACCACGTAGTGATAATTAAAATATAAATTTCTAGATGGAGCAGGTAAATAACTGAACGAACCAATTTTGAAGAAGTCAAGGATGGCAGTAGACAATGGACGCGAAAAATTATAGTAAGGGATACATGGTTTTGTAAACCACGCTTCAATATCTCACCATTATTGACCACCCCGTCGCCTCCAACCGCCCCTCACCTTCCCCGACCCAAACCGCCGAAACCGTCCCCCACCCAAAATCGCCCGCTCCCCAGCCGACCCCCGGAAGCGGAGAGGGCGGGTGGGCGGCTGGGGAGCGGGCGATTTTGGGTAGGGGGCGGTGGGGGACGGTTTCGGCGGTTTTGGGGATGCTACTCTTTTTTTTTTTTTCCTTTTTTTTTCCTTTTTTTTTCCCTTTTTTTCCCTTTTTTTCCCCTTTTTTTCCCTTTTTTTCGATTAAAATGCCTCGTCGATGCTCTCCCCACTCTCTCCCTGAAGGGCCGAAGGCCGGGCCCGCGGAGGGCTCCGGCCTCCCGCCTCCCGCCTCCGCGGTCGAAGCCCGCGCCCGGCCGGAGGCCGGTTTTTTCCCCACTCCCACTCTCTCCCCTCCACTTTCCGATCGCTATATATACGGGAACAAGACCTGAGATATTCAGTTTATCACAGCTCCTCGCTGAGTAAACAACTGGACGATGGGCGATTTTGATGATATTTTTTTTGGTCAGTTGTTCAGAGAAGCGATCCTCAGAAGGCTGGCCGGGCGGGCACAACAATTGGATCCGTCGGAAGAGGAGTTGGGCCCTTGCGACTCATCTTCTGCTTGCCCTCTGCCAAGGCCGCCATCACCTGCGGGGCCTTGCGATAGCACCACGCAAGTGGTGGATATCGACATCGGTGATGTCGATATGAGTGGCTACGAGTCAGACAATATATCGGTGATCGATATATCGTCTGATTCGGATAGCGATTCCGGCTCGGATTAGGGCGTATGCTCTAGCCGCAAAAACGGCCCTTTTCAGGGCCAACAAAAAAAAAACAAAAAAAAAGGTGCCATGAGCGTTATAGAACTTATGGGGGCATAAAGATATTCAGGAATATCGTAATGGACCTCGAAAAACTGTGGCTCAATTTAGATATAACGTATAGGCCGGAGGCGCCCGCGCCTGGCCGATTTTCTTCTTTTTTCTCCCACTCCCACTCTCTCCCCTCCACTTTCCGATCACTATATATACGGGAACCAGACCTGAGAAATTCAGTTTACTACGGCTCGCCGAGTAAACTATTTAATTCTTTTAAAGTTATTTTTTCAGTAATCAGCAGTGTTTCAACATGACTTCAATCGAAGAGACGATCGCCGCAGCTAACTCAATCACATCAATCGATGCTGTGGAATTCGATTTTGAAGAAATCTTCAAGGAGTTGACGGTTCCTTCACCGGTATCGCCGATGGAGCTGTCGCAAGTGTGCGACATCCCATTACCGGCCCCGTTACCGGCTCCTTTGCCGCTCCCGTCACCGGCTCCGTTACTAGCCCCAGTACCGGTATACGATAGCGGAGACGATTTTGAAGCGCCCAAGAAGATCCGGGTCCTCAGTGATGTACGCGTCGATACGCTATCCTCGTCAGCCACATTGCCAAAACTTGTCGGCACAATGGAAGATGCGCCCTGTAGGTCGAAGCCAACTAGACCGCGGTTGGTTGTGCCGAGAGCCACCGCAGCGAAACCAAAGACCGCACCAGTAAGGAAGTTGAAGGCGGTAGCCTCAACAAGTGCGGCGGTACCAATTCCAATACCGCCCAAGGATGACGGCGAAGAAGACAGCATGAGGAAGAAAATCAACAACGCCGCCACCGTCCTATTGAATTTGGAGACGCGGTATAATGCTGATAGGGAGCAGTTAAGTATCACTGAAGCGACAGTAAAACAGCTCAGGATGGAGGTGGATGGTATGGCGAGAGATATAGGGGTTACCTTAGCGCCACTTCAGCGCGAGACTGAAGGTTTGGCAGATGAAGATGCCCGCATCCAACGGCACTTGGTTGACTTGCAACGACAAATGGATGAGACCATTCATCGTCGGAACAATGTGCGCCAAAGACAGTTGGATGTGGGCATTGAAATTGCTAGGGTCAAAGAGACCCAATCGGAGTATGAAAAAAAGAAGGCTGCATATGATATGATGCAGGGCCGGTATCGCGAACTTATTGAGCGGGCGCGTGTTAGGAGTGCGGACTACACACAGTTTTTGGATCGCATAGTGTTGCATAAGGACAGGTAGACATTTTTTGGTATTTGTTAATTTGTTAGTCGTGGAGATATGCCTACTGGGGAGCTAACCACGTTAAAAAAAGCAGCGCGCCATGAGTTCTATCTCCATATATTATGATTAGTTTATGATGATAGGCTAGTTGTAATATATAAGATGGTGTGGAAACGAACTCCCCAATATACTTCTTTACAGGCTGCTGATGCTGCCGCTGTCGATGGCGATGGAGAAAGTGCGGACTACAAACAGTTTCTGGGGCACATAGTTTTGCATAAGGACAGGTAGACATTTTTTGGTATTTGTTAGTTTGTTAGTCGTGGAGATATGCCTACTGGGGAGCTAACCACGTTAAAAAAAAGCAGCGCACCATGAGTTCTATCTTCATATATTATGATTAGTTTATGATGATAGGCTAGTTGTAATATATAAGATGGTGTGGAAACGAACTCCCTAATCAGAGCCAAACAAAACAACAAAATTTTAAGATATAAAAGTTTTATTGTCGAAAGTCTTGCACTCTTAATTTTTACTATTTAATAATATAATAGCGAAATGTTAAGATATAAAAGTTGTATCACCGAGAGTCTTCCACTCTCGCTTCTCCCCCACTCTCTCCCCACTCTACTCACTTTTTTCAATCACTATAAATACTCATCGCACATATGCATACAATCATTCTGCTTCATGATGTGCGATTCTGCAAGTGGCTCTGGTTTCAGCCCACCCGGACTATGTAGGAGAACCATCGCATGGTTGTTTCCGACCACGTCGGAAGAGGAGTTGGGTCCTTGTGACTCAACTTCTTCTTCTCCCCCTCTGCCAAGGCCGCCATCACCTGCGGGGCCTTGCGACAGCACCTCGCAAGTGGAAGTGGCGGATATCGACATCGACGATGTTGATATGGGTGGCTACGGCTCAGACGATATACCGGCGATCGATATATCATCTGATTCGGATAGCGATTCCGACTCGGATAAGGGTGTATGCTCTAGTCGAGAAAAACGGCCCTTTTCAGGGCCAACAAACAAAAAACGGTTCCTTTTAGAACCAACAAAAACTAGCGGACTGCTCAATGGGCTAAACATTAATTTTGCATCAATTGTAATTTAAAATTGGTCCCACTCAACATCTCTCCCACCATATTTTAAATGGTAAAGTAGAAGATATTTCGTCTTCCAAAAAAATAATATAAGAATAACAGGAAACTATTATTTTACCTTTGAAGAATTATGTACAGTCTTAACCCAAATACTCATCTACTAGAATGGGTGTGAGCAAGAAAAATAGAACTTATTGCTAGCCCAGACAAAAAAAGTTTGCATTGTTAAGGTTCGAACTATCTATAACATCCCCCCACCTCAACATCCAACAACCGACCTCTTAATAAAAGAGTTCCTATAGCCTCAGATATTCAATTGTCTAAATTCAGCTTGAAGGCCCTGCGCTACTATGAATAAATTAAGTGATACTTGTTCTATGAGTAAGCGTCTTACTTGCAAGATTTGTGGCGATAAGGAGGTGCAAATGGTTTTTATACCATGCGGGCACGCAGTATCTTGTGTAAGTTGCAGTCAATCCGTAGTTATTTGTATTATCTGCAGGGCACCGATTAATGCTAGAGTAAAATTTTTTCTGACTTCCAACTTTCCGGAACTAGCCGAACTCAACTGAGCGCGGTGTAATGCAGGGGAGGTGGTAAATTCGTGGGTTGGTGGAGTGGAGGTGGAAATACATAACATATATAAGGAGGTCCCGACCACGTACCAGCATCAGACATTTAAGTGTAGCTGACCTGACCGCCGACATGAACAACCAGAATGAATACCAGGGTGAAGAAGATGAAGGAGTTAGGGAGATCATTCGTCAACTGGCCTTAGTAGCGCGCTTTGATGCCAACAAGCCAGGAATTGACGAATTTTGGGCCGCCGTAGAACGTGATGTAAGTTTTTAACTATTACCTTATGTTTATAAAATTACTACTCATTATGCTTATAAAATATCTAATCAATATACTTCTTTACAGGCTGCTGATGCTGCTGCTGCTGCTGCTGCTGCCGCTGCTGATGGTGATGGAGAAGGCGCGGCTGGTCTAGCTCAACCTGCCGATGAGGATTTGGGCGCTGTTGGTCCGGCACCACCCATCGAAGAGGGTGCAGACGCCGTTGGTCCAGCCCCACCCGCCGATGAGCCCACCAGCGACGACGACGATGAGGGCATTGAGGCTGATTGTCCTAGATCACCGACTTCAATAAGAAGGGAGCTGGCTGTATTTCAGGCCAGAGGCGGTAACCACTTCTGCGTTACAACCAGCTCCGTTATTGTGAAGTTGGTTATTCCTGACATGGAACGGAGCAAACGTCTGTGCAACCCCTGCTTCCTTCATTACGAGCAGATGGATGTCGAAAGAAATCCAAATGCCAGGTACATACATGAGCACCAACATTTTGTTGTAGAAGGGGAAAATTTAGAGGACCCGTAAACGTGTGAGGTTTGCGGTAATCATATTTCCCACTTCTGCGACACAAATGTTTGTCCTATATGTACTGGCGCTTGAAATAAAGGAGTCAGGGGTTGCAATAGGTACGGTGGCTTTGTTATGAGTCAATGGCCCTCTATATATTATAATAGTTTAAGATTTAATTTGTATAGTTAATATTATTGTTTTTTATTTAAGCTTTCTGTATATATTTAAGTGTAAGTTATTTTATTATTGTATATGTAGTAAATAGGAAAATAAAACTTGTTTTTTTTAAATCTTTATTTCATTTAATATCCATACTAAACAATATCATTTATATTAATCCAAGAGTTTTCTTGTTGTGGGAATCCCAGCCACTTCACCAGGGCTTTACTTCCTTTTCTCCGAATAAGCCTTTCCACTAAATACACATCTCTCCATTTTGTTTTTAATAATTCCAATTCATAAAATGAGCCTTTAATCGGCTGATCATTCATATCTTCTATAATGTATGTTACGGGGTATGTGCTATTTATTTTTCTTATTTTGAATCATTCAGTTGTATATTTAGCAGTATACCCCTTTTCAAATGTGCTTTTATATTTACTTATTCTTACGATATCACCGATGTGATATTTTGGTTTTTTACACTTTATTTCGTTTTTCTTCTTTTGTCTATATTGGTTGAGTTTAGTTGTTGGCAGGACATCTATTGGCCTCATCCCTATGATTGAATGCGCTGTATTATTGTACTTGTTAATCACATAATTTATAATATCAATCCACTTATATTCCCCTCTCATGGAAAATTTTTTAAATAAGAGTGATTTTATTGTGCGTATTACACGTTCAGCCATAGCCGCTTTCTTGGTACTATAAGTAGAATAGTGATTAATACCATACTCTTTCATTATTTTTGCAAAGTCCTTGTTATAAAACTCTGTTCCATGATCTGTTTGTAGATTTGCATATAGTACTCATAAATATAAGTCAAAAAGTTTTTAAAAATAAATGGCCTAAAATGCAAAATTGCAAAAAATTCAATATATTTTTTTGTTTCAGGCTCTTCCTGTAAGCAAGTAGTTTATAGTAGAAAGGAGATTTATGACATGGTAAAGGATCACTTAAGAGACGGGTTAACTGATCTGCTTAATCATCTTAAGACCGCGGTGTCTGAACGAAGTGGAAAATCAATAGAAATTCGTGAAGACATGAAGGCATCATTTTCAACATTATTTTCTAAAATAAGGCAAAAATTGCAAACTGTTAAGAGAACTGAGCAAATTTTTTTTCAAAAATACCATGATTGGCTTATTAAACCCGTTACATTTCCGATATTAGAAGTTGTAACAACTTTGGCGACATCAGTTAGAGCAAGACCAACAAAGGAATTTCTAACATCCAGCGAAAGATCCAAACGAAGAAAAACTGAAGAACTTCGTAGCTCATTTAGTCCACAAGAATTGGCATATGCAACGCAAGTAAGTCTGCGTTCTACTGGCCAACTAGCTGCAAGTAAGCTTGTTAAAGAAGCCGCCCTTTGTACTCCTACTAGAGCATCAAAATATAGAAAAAGTTTTAAGGTTACAACTGAAACTCCTTTAACCAGTGAAGGACCTCTCTCAATATTAATTGAGTGTAAGCTTTCAAAAAGCCAGTACCAGGGTATACGGTTAATAAGTTTGGAACAAAACTGCAAGCTCTATCCTTCTTATAAGAAAGTATTGGAAGCAAAAAATTTATGTTATCCTCCTCGGAGTTCCATAAAAATTACGGAAAGTAGCTCTGAAGTCGAACTACAGCAATTATTAAATCACACAGCTCAACGTATACTACAAACCCAAGAAGAAGTTATTGCCACTTTGACTGATAAAGAATTGCAAAACTTAAAATTTTTTTGCAAATGGGGATGTGATGGAAGCTCCGGTCAAAGTGAGTACAAACAGACATTTGAAGGAGAAAGCATTTCTGATGCCAGCATATTTTTTATATCGGTCGTTCCTTTGCAGTTATTTTACACAGATATTAAACTTGGTAAAGATATAATTATTTGGAAGAATCCTAGAACGTCATCTCCACGATTTTGTAGACCACTTCGAATGCAATTTCTTCAAGAAACGACTGAATTGACGAAATCTGAAGTAAGGCATGTTGAAAACCAGATAAATACACTTTTGCCTTTTGAAAGAACCTTTAGAGAAAAAAGTGTTAAAATAACGTATATTATGAATCTAACAATGATCGATGGGAAAGTATGCAGTGCCATCACTGGAACAAAGTCATCGCAGCGTTGTTATTTATGTGGAGCAACTAGTAAAGATTTTAATGACATAAGTAAAATTTTAAAGAAGCCTGTTTTGGAAGAAAATCTTAAATTTGGACTATCCACTCTACATGCATGGATCAGATTCTTTGAGTGTGTCTTGCATTTATCTTACAAATTGGTTATTAAAAAATCTGATGTGTCCAACACATGACTTTCCTATCTAGTTATTACAGGCTTTTTCCGTTTATTGTGTACAACCTATTGCAGCATCTCTATAAATGTTTAGAGGATAAACTAAATATATACATTGTCCACATACATCTACCGCGAAACATTTTTCTATAGATATTCATTGAAAATGAAAATACTGAAAAATTTAAATTTAGCACTTTTCCTACAATTTTTCCATTACGGTCCATTTAAAAAAAATCATGTATGAACAAATATTATAGAGATCGATATCGCAAACAACTTTTATTTCAACAATTTTCATAAAAATCAGAATTTTGCACATTTTGTCAAATTTCTCGAATACGGACCATTTCAGGAAATTTTTACATAAGGCAAAAATTATAGATAATAATATTAGAAGTAACTTTTATTTGAACAATTTTCTTCTCCAAACATAAATAACAGATATATTCCGTAAAATATATAAACGGCCTCCCATAAAGTACCCCCCCAGATGTTCCGACTTTGTCCAAAATCTAATCAGCTCATTAGACGCTGGAATAAAGCTTAAGTTTGAAATTTGGTGTTTTTCCGTGTATCGGTTCATGAGTTATGCGTTATACAGACACACACACAGACAGACAGACATCATCGCGAAAATAGTCAAAACGGATTCAGGGGACCTCAAAACGTAAAAATCCGTCGAAAACTCGAGGTCGAAAAAAATCATGATTCCTATACTTTCCTTATATCTGTATACAGATAGGAAAGTAAAAATGACAAGCACGAAGTGCTGAAGAAAAAAAGCAGTTGATAATAGAAAAAAAGAGGTCCAACGTGAATTTCGGTTGCATTTGGGGTTAATAGTGGACAAGCCAAAGCCTGGTTTTGGAAGTTCCAATGACGGCAATAGTGCTCGACGCTTTTTTGAAAATTCTGAAATTTCCGCAAACATAACTGGCATTGACGAGACACTAATTAAACGTTTTCATGTGATCTTACAGGTAATATCTAGTAGTTACGATATTCATTATGACATGTTTGAAAATTTTTCTATTGAAACGGCAAAACTATTTGTTAATTTATATCCATGGTATTACATGCCCACTTCCGTTCATAAAGTGTTAATACATGGAAAACAAGTCATAGAAAATGCTTTATTACCTATTGGACAATTATCTGAGGAAGCCCAGGAGGCAAGAAACAAAGACCTAAAAACGTATCGTGCCGATTTTTCCCGAAAATTTTCAAGAGTGAAAACAATGGAAGATATTTTTAATAGACTGCTTGTATCTTCTGACCCCTATATTTCAAGCATTAGAAAGCTTCCAAAGAAAAAATTAAAACAATTTTCCCCAGAAGCATTAGAAATGCTTATAGCCAGCGGTTCTCAAGATCAATTAAGACTTGACGGAGATGTAGATAGTGACTCTGAAACTGAAACCGAGTTAACTGTTAGTAGTGATTCAGAATGATTATTGTGTGCAATTAATTTTTTATGATATAGTATTTTTTTATGTTCCTTATATTAATAATTATTATAATATATTATCACTAGTTTTACCCAAATTAGTTTTCTTTAATAATCCACTAATTTAGTTAATTTTACAGGTCAGTTAAAAATAAAAAAATTTAAAAGGTCAAATATTTATTTTTAATTCGGCCATATTGTAGCCCGACACCTTGTTAACGACATTTTATGGTCATATTCGTAATTAGACACCTTAAAAACCCCTATATATGTGTTTTAGTACAAATCCAGCAGTTGTGGTATTTTTGGCCGAAAATTTTAATTTTGGGACCACTGTGCGGCGTCGTGAACGTGTTAAGATTGACTCTGTCAATTGGTCACAAAATACAGGCTTTAAATAATCTTAAAATGCAGTTTTTTATTGAATACTTTGTATTTATGTAGCTTAATAAGAGAATCTTTAGCAGAACTCATAGAAAGTTTTTATTTTTAGGCAACGACTACCTGTAAATTATAGCCAGCTTCAAATATTAAAAAACAGGAAGAAGATAAAATAAAACCCGGTAATGAATCACAACAGCAATGCGAAAATAATGATAATGCAGATAAACAGAGAGCAAAACCTTCTCAGGAAGCTATGAAAAATAAGATCTCTACTCGAAAAAAAATGCTTTGTATTCTGCCAGAAATACTATGCCAAGCCGTGCTGAAGTTGATAAACAGATCATTAACCCGTAACTGGTGACATGGAGTCTGCCAGACTCCAACAACTTCTTTGAATCACGCCATCTTTAAATTTTAACATATATGAACTCCCCCTCCTAGGTACCTTCTACCAATGCCGACAGTAATCACATGCGGTAACGTTAGTGTCGTCCAGCAGACTCCACGTCACCAATAACGTAAGTATACAAAGAAAATTTATAACGACTTGGTCTCATTATTTTTTACTGTTTAGAAAAATAAAAATGGAAAACAAACCCGGACCGTCTGAAGGAGTAAAATTTGGAGATCCAGATTATGATGCTACTCTTATGCAGTGGTATGAAGAAGATAGCTGCCGGTCCAGTGACGTCGATAACGTTGATGAAGACTTTTACATGGAAAGTGAGGATACAGTTCCGGACTTATTATCAGAATCTGAGACGGAAGAGGAATTTATTAATAACACAAAAAAAAACAGCATGAATATTTGGAAGAGGGACTAGAAGAAGAGTTGGAAGAAGTGTTTGAAGAACCGCGAAATAGCGACACATCAAAGTCAAGTAAAAACTATTATGGTATAAATAGGTACAAATGGTCGCGTCAAGAACCTACAAGGCATGTTAGAACCCCTTCACACAATTTAATCGTTCATTTGACAGACTTACGGCAACCGGCAAAAATTCAGGAATACAATAATCCTCAAAACGTTTGGAACTTGTTGTTCAGTGACGATATGATAAATGAGGAGCATTCACGCAAAAGTAAACAAATCCATTTTTAGTACAAAAAGAGATTGATGTTGCATCATGTAGACCTCGATCATCTCTATGAAATCCCATGCCCCGTTTTAACCAAAAGTACACATATCCTTGTATAATGGTGTGGTGAAATCAGGAATTTCAACCAAAGAGTAACAAATCCGTGAACTATTAATTTTCGTCAATATCAGCGGAATTTCTCTCAAAAAGTAACAAATCCTTGCCGAAAATACGGACGCGGTGTCATAACCCATGCAAAAGTGAACAAATCCAGAGGTATTTCTGAACTGCCTAATAAATGTCAGATTTTTTAAATAGTGTGCCATCTTGTATTTAATAGCCTAAATAACGGTTGATGCACGTTCTCTAAATGTGTTTTAGCGCTGCAAACTGTTTAGCGATTTTCGGTAATAGGCATAGGCAACGATAGAGACCGCGACGTCTGCAAACATATTTTACTATTCCGTCAGCTAGAAGTGTTTGGAGTAGTTTACTTGTTTTTAGTGATTTATTCATTGATTTATTATTTAAAATGGATGACTCTTTGATCTCAGTAGGTGAAGGTAACAGTGGATCTCGAAAAAGAGAAAGGAAACCTACTAAAAGGGAGCGGGAACGGCGTGAAAGGTAAGATACACTGTTTTACTTTTTTACTGCATTTCTTATTCTTGTGATTGCACTGATTATAGATACAAGAAGCCAAACTTTGGTGCGTATGTCATAAGAAAGTGCAATCATAAAGCAAAACGAACTACATATGAGTGTTCAAAAGTAACTGGGGCAGAAATAGAGCATTGTAGAAATAGGATTTATGCAGAATCTGAGAAAATTGCACAAGATATTCAAATTTGCCATCACATAATTCCAGTAGCTCCAAAAAGAAGAAGGCCCACAAAACCAAATCCGACTAAGATACATAACGTTTCCATGGAGTATATTGTAAGTTTTTGGTTATAGTATAGAACGGGGAAATTAGTAATTCTTTAACTTGCGAAAAGGGGGATATTTTCCTAAAATTACGCATTTTGTTATAAAACATGGCTTGTGGGGTATTAAATTAAAGGAAATTTTGTGGAGATTACATTAAAAATATTTTTCAAGGGCGTAATTAGGGGTCAAGGGACAAAAAATTGTTGGTTGTTTTATAGTTTACGCGTGTTCTTAATTATTTGTGATTTAAAACATTTTCCACCCTCTTTAGTTTTATTTTAGTGCCACTGAATATATGTTAAAAATAAAAAACGTTATATAGTAGCTTTGCACCCATAAATTGGCAGTGTATTTTTCCCTGGCTTATCCGTACTTTGAAGTAAATTATTTATTATTAATTTCAATAATATTTTTTAGATATCAAATCCATTTGGCCACGGATTTAAAAAAGTTTGTCAAGGCTTTTTCTTGTCGGTCACTAAACTAAGCAAAAGTAGGCTCCTAAAAGTGGCAAAATGTTTGAATCGTGGTGGTGTTCCCAAAGAAACACGTGGAGGTGATCAAGTATCACATAAGTTGCAAAGTAGCAAAGAAGAAGTACGCACGTTTTTAAAGGGATTAAGAGGTCAAGAAAGCCACTATGGACGTATGAAATCAAAGAGAATATACCTTAATAGTAATTTATCAATAAATAAATTGTACAGGGATTATAAAAGTAGCCCTCAAGAGACAAAATGCCCAAAAGTGTCAATGTCAACATTTCACAGAATATTTTCCACTGAATTTAATATTGGCTTTAAGTCACCCGCGACGGATGTATGTGGTATGTGTGAACGTCTAAAAAATAGCATTCGGAGGGAAAGTAATCCCAGCAAAAAAAGCAATTTGATCATGGAAAAGAGAATTCACACACTTAAAGCAAAAACGTTTTATGAATTGATGAAGAACTCTCCACCATTTTCAAAAACTTATTGTTTTGACATGCAGCAAGTTCAACCTTTGCCAAAAAGTGCTGTAGGTGAAGCATTCTATTTGAGGCAAATTGGATACTACTCGCTCTGTTTTGTCGAAAATAATGCGAGGGATCCGGTTTTCTATACTTGGACAGAGGACCAAGCCGGCAGGGGCTGCACAGAAGTTGGCTCAGCACTGTTTCACTTTTTAGGAAACGTTGAAATTGAGGAAGACATAGTAGAGTTACGTTTATTTTGTGACGGCTGCGGCGGTCAAAATAAGAATGCTCATATAATTCATATATTATTATTTTGGCTGCAACAAACTACAAAAAATATAAAATCTATTACTCTAATATTCCCTGTCAGGGGCCATAGTTTTCTACCAGTGGATAGAGTATTCGGTAGGGCAGAAAAAATGTTACGAAAAGAGGCCAGTATTAAAAATAAAGAGCAATACCACGCTTTGTATAAAGAATTAGGGAAAGTGAGGGTGTTGGGTGTTGATTGGATGCTTTATAACATCAAAGGGCTGGAAGAGATTTATCGAAAACTTCCAGGCATTAGTGCAATGAAAAAAATTAACCTAAAGTTAATGACTGAAAAGAATAATACTGTGGTTAAGTGTCGTGGTCTACTTAATTACAGATTTGAATCACCTACTGACATATTCCAAAATCTCGGCAAGCGAGGACGTTCTTCAAAAAATTATGAATTGGAACAGTTACCTTTAGTACGCCACTTACCACCTGAAAAAGTCACCAATGTTGAAAGTCTTCTAAAGGCGGAATTTAATGATGACTGGCGGGCAGATCCAGAACTAGCCTGGTATAAAATTATCATTGATGGTAATATTGAAAACGCTACACAGATGGTAAAAGACAACGCTGAAGATGTAGAACAGGAAAGTGATTGTGACTGTTTATGTGAAGAAGATCCTGCGCTTCACCTTTAATGTTCATGGTATTTTCCCAAGTAGGATTACTTATAAAATTAAATTTTGTTTATTTGTAACGTTTTTCTAAGTTGATTTAATAAATATTTTTCTGCTTAAAGCTGTTTATATTATATGTAAGTCAAAAGTAAACAAATCCAACAGGCTGGTCAAGCAAAACAGTACAAATCCTCACATTTCAAGCAAAAGTAAACAAATCCATATCATATATCGAAAAAACTCCTATAATATTTTAGTAAAAAAACAAACAAACATTGTAGCATATTTTCTAATATTAAAAAAAAAATTAACAAAAAAAAAATCCAAATTTTTTTCAAAATTGTGGCTACAGCGAAAAATATCGTTTTATGCATAATTAGTTCAAATGGATTTGTTTACTTTTGCGTGAATGCTCCTCAAATCGCATTGTGCAATGGACTAATGTAAAACTACGAACTATGGCAGAGGGCTACAAAAGAAAAGATAAACCAGAACTAAAGGATGTGAACTATGTTGAGATGAAAGCTTTTTTGGGTCTTCTAGTATTTAGTTCGGCTTTTAAGTCTAATCATGAACATATCTCAGCTTTATTTGCTAGGGACGGAACGGGAAGAGAGATTTTTAGATTGGTTATGAGTGAAAAAAGATTTTCCGTATTACTCGCATGCCTCAGGTTTGACAATCCCGAAGACAGGATTATGAGAGCATTTTATCAAATCCAGCTGCTGCAATTAATGAGTTATTTACCATGTTTTTTCAAAACTGTCAATCGATGTATACTGTAGGAGAAAACACTACCATAGATGAGATGCTTAATGGCTTTAGGGGACGCTGCCGATTTAAAATGTATATGCCGCAAAAACCAGTGAAATACGGTTTAAAGGTAATGTTACTTACAGATGCTCGAAGCGGTTTTGCTTATAATGGTTACATTTATACCGGAAAAGGTTCTGATAGCATGGGCTTAAACAATGAAGAAAAAAAACTAAAAATACCTACTCAGTCAGTAATCAGGCTTGCAAAACCAATTGAAGCCACTAATAGAAATATTACCGCCGATAATTGGTTTAGTTCGATTGAATTAGTAGAAAAGCTAAAATCTATGAAACTCACATACGTAGGCACACTACGAAAAAATAAAAAGGAAATACCGCCATGTTTTTTACCAAACAGAAAACGAGAAGTTGGTTCGTGTTTATATGGTTTCACTAAAGACATAACTATTATATCTTTTGTGCCTAAAAAAGGTAAAGCCGTCGTATTAGTATCATCCATGCATCACTCTAAATTGTCAATAAATGAAAAGCCAGAAATAATAGACTTTTATAATAGTACAAAGGGATGCGTGGGCTCATTAGATGAGAAATGTGCAGTGTATAGCTCATCGCGCCGAACCCAGCGTTGGCCAATGGCGGTATTTTTTTAAATACTAGATATGAGCACAGTAAATGCATTTATAATGTTTCAGACCTATAAAGGAAACCTTCAGATTACATGTCTAGATTTTATGAAACAACTTGCCATGGAACTTGTAAGGCCGCATTTGAAACGTAGGTATTTGAATAAGAGAATTTCAACTGATATTCGTAAAGGAATCGGCCGTGTTCTAAATATTCCAGAAAGTAAAGAAGTTGAGGAAACTTTGGAAAAAAGAAAATATTGTTACTTATGTACATCCAGACTGCATCGGAAAACGAAATACCAGTGTTTTCAATGCAAAAAACCTATTTGCTTAGAATGCGCCAAAAAAGTGTGCCGAGAATGTCTTACAAAAAATGACTAATTTAGAGACTTGTAGTTTTGGTGTCATTTTGTAACTAAACGCAACTATTATATACAGTTGTATTTGTTAGGTATTAAACTTTGTAGAAACACTTTTTTTTACACTCTATCAGTTATTTTTTTTTTATAAAAAATAGGATTTAAGTTAAGTTAGTTTTTTTTACTACAAATGTTCATTCTTTTGCATTATTATTTTTAATATTAAAATAATTGTTGATTGTAACTCTTTTGATCAATAAACATTTTCAAAATACCTCAGAGTATAATTGTGAAAAATATTTATAACCCAGGTAAAAATTCCTGAAGCCCTACCATGCTTAATTATTGAAGAGTCTGGCAGACTCCATGTAAAATATGTAAAATATTTCACGTCACCAGTTACGGGTTAAGTTGCGCGAGGAAATAAAAACAGCAAAACAGTCTTTAAACAGGAAGTTTCAAAACGCAGTTACCCAGAAGAAACACAGGAATGGTATGAAAAGAAAGTTAGAAGATATTTGACATGAAAATCCAGAAATAAAAAAAAGACTATCTCTGAGGGATTCAGTGGGGCGTCCTAATCTTGAAAGCAATCAACCATCACTATTGAAAACAATTGCGAATAAGATTGAGAAGCACTGCATTAGATAATGAGTGGAGAAATTTATTGAGTGTAGACTGGACTATTTATTTCAAAGTATAACACTTCTACTATTAGGCCACCACCATTACACGTGTATACTATATTGCCTACCGTCAGTGGCTCATTTTACCAATGATTCCGATCAATTGAAAGACAATACATTTTTAGGTTATGTTAAAAAACGTTCGTTCAACTTTCATGGCGCGTAAGACAGCGTCTTTGTTCTGTTCAGTTCTTTTGGCAAGTTTAAAATAAATCACCTAAAGTTACGTTGTTTTTCACTGTTTAAATGTCTTACAAGAACCCCATAGCAAAATAACATCACCTGCTATAAAAGATAATATTCCAGATGATACTATTGCTATAAAACAGAAGTGTTTTAAAAATTTGGCCGAGTATGTTTTAAGCTTATGTATGCCTATAAGCAATGCTGTTGTAGAACGTGTTTTCTGTCATGAATTCTGTTAAAAGCAAAGCTAGAAATAGGTTAAATCACTGATCTGTATTATTTTACTGGATAGGATATAGCCCCCTAAAAAACGTTCCGAAAAATTGGCCGATTTGGGCAAATAATATGGCGGACCGGATGTTATTTAACGTAACCTCTATTTCCATTTGTCATTTAATTGTGTCAACAGGCTACGATGAGATGTTTTTATTGTGGAAAACAAAGTAAAAAGAGTATGAAATAAACAATAAACGTTCATTCCTGAAGACACAATATGCTTCACGTTTCCATTTTTCTATTTTCTTTCATAAAAAATCAAATCATGGGTGAAATTTCATGAAGTACATCGCCCGCAAAAGGAATAGAAGAAGAATAAGAAGAAAAACTAATCAAATTATAGGTTAGGTATGTGAAATTATTACAAATTTCAGTTCTGTGAACCCACCATAATTTGCCCAAATCGGCCAGCATTGTAGCACTTCCGGTCTCCTTGTTGGAACGATTTTTTAGTATGTTAAATATAGCCTATATCCTATCCAGTAAAATAATACAGATCAGTGGGTTAAATATAAACATGTTAGATGCCATTCTGTGAATCCAATTATATTGCTATTCAAGAAAATTATGCTACAATGAGTTCAATGTTAGTAAACATATTTTCATTTCATATTTGACCAAAACTACAATAGTTTTCGGGAAAAACTGGGGCCTAAGCCCCAAAATGGCCACATGGTTATAGACAAAACTGATGAAACACATAATAACCTATGGGGCAGTCACGTGAGTAACCAAAACTGCATAGGCAAGTGCAATAGGCCAACTTAAAGGGATTCAGCGGATCGCCTGACTGAGTGCCACATGGGCCGTGCGAACTACACCAACTGCAGCAAAGGAGGTACTATTAAACCTCAAACCACAGAACATCTTTATACAAGCAGAAATTCTGGTTTTTTAAGTCTTTGTTTATGGACGGCTGAAGTCTCACAGGAATGGTCATGCTTTATATTTCATTTGGAATCTCTTACTGGAATGTTGACTGCTCACCCAGGAAGTTTTAGTTATTGCGCATCTCCACAAAGTTATTTCTGCTTTCCTGTTGCTTATGATATTGTTGACAGTTAAAGCATCTTGTATGTCAAAATCTTCCTATACAATGTATCTTTGCCATCCTATATGCATTTTTAGGAGGACACAGTGCATTAATAGTCTTGTATTTTTGTTTAATTAATAATACTTTTCTCTATCTCTTCTTATGTTGTTAAAATATATTTTCAGTCACAGTAATCTCAATTTGGAAAGTTCAACGGTGTAACTGATTTCTTTGTATTTCTTGTTCAAAACTATATTTCGTGTTTGTTTTGTTTCTTCAATGATAACTGTCAGCTCCACTGGATTCCAGACAATAATCACCTACCTCAGATGACATTAGTGGATTTTCTTTTACATAGGCTAATAGAGATTCGTTCAATTGGGCCACTAGAGAATTTAGATTAGCCATTTTAGATCTTAATCTTCGATTCTGCCTTTGCAGAGTGGATATTTTTCTACGTTGTTTTTTTACTATTATTTTTACATATTTTAAAGTTGTTTTGGCATTTGGGCCATTGGGCAGTTGAAAATCATCAGAGTTATGGGGCTCAATAAATTTTCTCCTAAAAAAAATTAAATATATTAAATATACTAACTGTTTAATTGAAATGTATTGCTATCTCGTAAACGGTTGTCCATTAGGGATAGGCCGAAAAAACGAAAGTTACAATTTTAATTTGCTATAGAATTTAAAAGCTGCGTTTCATTATAAAAACTGCTTGTAATTTTTTTTTTACAATTTTAAAATATGTTTAGCCCTCTACCAACCCTCAAAATAGCTAAAAATCAAATTACAAATTAAATGTATAATTTTAATTAGCCATATCCATTAAAAGCTGTGTTTAAGCATATACACTGTCCTTATTCCATTCTAAAATAAAAACAGACTTCATTTTACCATTAAAATAATTAAAAAAAAAATGGGCAAGCACATGGATTACTACTGGTATAAAAACATCTTGTCAAAATAACCGTTTCTTATACAGGATGTTTCCTAATTGTGTACATTAAATTTAAGGATGTATTCCTGAGCTAATTTCATGAAAAAAGGTTCATATAAACATGGATCCTAAAACGCTT